AATGCGAACACGGAAAATAAAATAAAAGATTTTATGTTCTGGAGAGAGTCAACCCTTCTTCATCGGGTGAGTATTACTTTTGGTTTGTGCAGTGTGGTTCACATAGGCCAATTTATTAAAATATTTAATTATCTGGGAATTGGATCTCCTCCATAATGCTGAAATTGCCCAATTAAAAAAAAAATAGTAGTAATAATTTAAGTTTTGTGGTGTAAGTCTACGTATTTTATAATGTTAACTTCAAATAATACTAATAGTAATTTAAAGATGTTGTAGCTAGCATTGGGTCTGGACGTGAAGGATAACTTCGGGAGTTGAAGGGACGTGTCGGTGTCGTGTGTTCTGTCTTCTCACACCGCGACACAGGTTCGTGGATCTGAGGTGTCGCGATCGTTACAGCCTTACATAGGCTATATTCTTCTTGCAGATAAATATACTCACGCAGTTTAGGTTAGAAGCCTCCAGTGAGTTCAACGTTTCAGGGGATACCCGGGGAAATGCTCAGAGGTGACGAGGGGAGTTGAGAAGAGCAATGTTTATTTCAGCGAATTTAAAGCTTTGACAACTTTAATCGTTATTTAAATACCTTTACTCAATTATCTCGACTACGAAACCCTGTGAGATTATTTTTGAATGTCTGTTCTTTGAAAATTAGCAAAAAAAAAAATTTTTTTTTTTTTTTTTTTTTTGTTATTTCATGGTTTTTCCACATCTAATCGGCCCATATCTTAAAATGGAAGGTTGCAACTTCCGACTCATTTCGCCAGAGCGGGTCACATTTGATTTTTATTTTTTAAACAATGTAATGTGTAACCTAAAAATAAACAGATTATCTGCATATTGTAGCCTAATATCTGCAGGGCAGCCTAGTCTTAATAAATGTATGCTTCATTTTTCATTAGTAAATTTGATCAATAAATTCAATAATTTTAGAATAATAAGACCACTATAGGGCTGTAACCCTAGGTAAGGCTGATCAAATTAAATCGGTTACACAATAATTGTACGAGATTGGTTTAACAGGAGTCAATAAAAATCGCTGTAAAGAACGATACTTTTAAACATAACCCTAAATCACCATAAGGTGTCGCCAGAATGACCGTCTTAATGAACGAGTCATGGATTCAAAATGCTGAATCATTCAGTAATGAGAAAAACACATTGCTTTGAGATTGCGCGATGGGTCGCTGTGATCTTTGTTTAACTATTTCTCTTCTGCTGAAACAGAAAAAAGTCAATATTGCATCTAAAAAGTCAATATTGCATATAAAATGTAAGTGACTTGACTTGTGTGTGTGACTATGTTTGTTGTAGTGATAAGAGTTGCACCCTTGTTAAAGTTTTAAGGCCTTGTGTTTTTGGATATATATCTTTCTTTCTTTTTTTCTTTTTTTACAAAATATGCATATAACCCATATATTTTAGATTTATTATTTGCTTTAATTTTATGACTAAAAAAGGACACATAAAGTGTGTTTATAACTTTGCTCAATTTACCTACAGTTACAAAACTTACCACGTATATTGTTCTCGTCAAGCCGATCAATTTTCCAATTTAAA